GTATAATACTAACAGGTCAGAACAAATATCTATATCTAAGCAAAGATATATAAGGAAGCTTAGCTTTTATAGTACTGAGCATTATACAGGCCTGCATTATCTAAAACTAGGATCTAGAGAGCTAAGGTTATAACTTCCATCTAGATATAAGCTCTAACTCATCAAGTAAACTCTAAGAATAGTACAGATACTATACAACATTATTAATATTAATAGACTATACATAGATAGCTTCATCCATTAGAGTAAACATTCAGAATAGGAGAATATATATAGGAGCTAGTAGCATGCAGTACTAAGTCAAATAAATACAGAGTATTAGACTTAAAGCCTAGTACTTAGCAAACCTAGATCTTACAAGCTAAAAAGAGACTATTTCAGACTATATAATTATTCTCTCCCTAAGAGAGAAATAAGTATAAAGTATTACAGCATATAGCTTCTACTGCAGCTAATATAAGCAAAGTATAATAATATTTATACTTAGGCCAAGCTCATCACTGCTTACCTTACACTTACTAAGCACATTATACACTCCCTAGGTGATCTAGACTTTAAACTAAGCAGAACTAAGCTGGGGTGAGCAGCCTAATAGTACAGCAGGAGGCATCATCTCTCAGCCTTAGGGGGTATATAATGCTCAAAGACCTAACCTGATATTTTCACTAGGGATTCAATCAACTGAATTACCCTGCTGAGCAATTCATACTGGTTAAGAGGATTGAAAGTTGACCAGTGACAGGCCATATCTGACTAGTAAGTGCTGAAGATGCTGAGCAAGTTGCCATACCAGAGCAGGGAGAAGTGCGACCCACTGCAGCGAGAACGCCAATTAGCCGGATTGGGATACCCAGCTCATCTGCAGACTTTCGCCTGGCCCTCGCATATTTGATAAAAATGGTTAAATCTTACTCACTATTATTATTTCTATAACCACATCAGATATTCCCGCTATTGCTTTGCATGCAGGTAAATGCTACAGTAATCTAAAAGCATTACTATTTTCTCCCAGTGTTCTAATTATTTAATTACTCTTCTGCTTCACCTGGGTTACTATATTTTACTATATTTTAGTTCCCCTTTATTATAATCAGCACCATTAGTAGACCTAGGCAAAACCCAACCCAGAATACCCCCCTTGAGCCTAAAACCCAGCCTAGGTAAAACCCAGAATACCCCCTCTGAGCCTAAGCCTAGCCTAGAACCTAACTAGGTAGCCTAGTTAGGTTACCTAGATTATTTTATTTTAGTATAATTTTCCTAACTAGGCCATGCTAAGATGTATAATTCTACTAACTAACTTAAATAAAATACTATTATTTATACCTATTCTAGTTACCTCTATAGTTTTATATTAATATATAGTCTTTAAATATATAAAATCTTAAGTAATTTAGCTATCTCTTACTAAATTAATACTAGTAATTATCTATTATCTAAGTCTTAAGATAATATTATTATATTATAGTGGTTAATAAGCTATATATATAAAGATACTCTTAATAACTATAGAAATATATTTAAACTATAGAGTATAGTAGGTATATCTTAATTAGGCTGCTATAGTTATATAATAAGAGTATATTATTATATTAATTAGTTAATTAATATATTAATTAGTACTAGGTCCTATAATTAAGCTAGTGTCTACCTTGGACAGGATATTAAGCTAGTATCTATATTAGATAGGACTTTAAGCTAGTATCTACCTTAGATAGGACTTTAGGCTAATATCTACCTTAGATAAGACCTTATTAGTACCTAAGGTAGATTATAAGTACTTAGTAAGCTTAAGTATTCAGTAGGCCTTACCTACTATATATAATATTAGCTATCTATACCTAGCTTCTTCCTTCTTTAGTAATTCCACTTTATTCCTTTATAGCTTATTAGGATAGTTAGAGTATAGCTATATACTAGAATTCTAGCCTATAATAGTTAGAGAAGAAATAGAAGGGTAATTAGAATAGTTACTCTTATACTTAGATATATAGTTTAAATACTAATAAATATAAGATAAGACTATATAATTAATATATATTATATAATCTTTAATATTTACCTAGTTTATCTACCTAACTAGATTATCTAAAACCTAGTTAGATTCTATATAAAAGCCTAGAACCCAACTCAGAACACCCCCCTTAAGCCTAAAACGTAGCCTAAGTTGGGTTTGACACATGTTTTAGTTAGGTTACCCAGAACACCTGCCTAGGTCTAACCATTAGGAGGTGTTACTTTCACAACAGCTCTGTTTAATAAACAACATTTCCCAACTAGTTGCTCTAAGTGACAGTTATAGCTAGTAGGCTTAACTAATTTCCCCCTTATAGAGTATCTAGTGTTTCTATAATAATCTTAGTTCCTACAGGCTGAATCTTAAAGTAATACTTAGTTAAATTTTAGGGTAGTTTATACAGTCTATACTCCTGTGAAAGATTATAGAACTATACTCTTCTACTAACCTACTTTTAGTTAGTGGGTTTTAGTGTAGCCTTATTCTTGTGGTTTCTAAGATACTTAATAAAGTCTTAGCTAATCTTTCTTCCTTATCTTTTTATATACTATACTATCTTTAACAGATATTCTCTCCTGCCCTATACAAGTAATGGTTTCTGGATAGATTATACAAGGAGGTGTTAGAGGCAGGTTAGGTTACTTAGGCAGTGACCTAGGATTTATAAGGTGGGGGAGCTGGGCAACCCAGATAAAATGCTATACTTATCCTTCAACCTATTAACTAGTAAAGATCTAGGTATCTTTCTTCTATGCAAGCTATATAATAACACTTCCATAATATTATCATCATTTAGTGATATGGTATTTACTATATTCAGAGTTAGGTTCATCTACTGACACTTTCTAATAGGCATCTCATTTAACTAATCCCTAGAGCTTATAGGCTTGGCCTACTTCTATTTTATAGTGGCTAAGCACTGCACCCCAGTATCCTATACAGTCAAAATGACTGCAAGCTAAAAAGGGCTTTTCCTCTGGCATCACCCCTGGTTAACTAGTCAAAAACAACCACCTACTAGATGTGTCTTAACTGTGATAAACCAGCATTTAGAGCATATGGCTGGTTAATATTATCAATCCATAGTTGCTACTATTTGGGTATTTCTGTGGTCTGCTTTACCCAGGTCAAACCTTACTAAATGCCCACTGCGCCGACTTATCGGGGATTTTAACCCATTTAATTAGTAGAGGGATTGCTAAAGCACTCCTGTTAGTTTATAGGCTAAAGAAAATCACCCAACCTCCCCTTGACTAACTGTAATTAGCAAACACCATATTACCCTTCTAATAATGAGTAGATTTCAACCCTGGTCAAAGGAAACTGTATCGCGGTAGCCAGGCTCTGATAGAATATGCAGAGAGGCTTAACCATTACTGTTTGCTCTGGTGGGTGGGCCCAGAAGGTCCCAGAGAAGGAGACATATAGTCTACACGACCGGTCCGGCCACACCTGGACATCACCTGGTTATTTCTGGTCATTTCACTACAAGTAACGGGAGCGCCATGTCTCTMCACTCTGCATAGATTTCCAGTTCCTTGCTGCACCGGATGCTGGCTGACCTACAATCCATTGCCAGCGTTCGTCTCCCCCAAAGCTGCTGTCAACCAGCAGCTCTCAGGTCACCTTATTTGTGAGTTCTGTTGCCGTGTGGGCCAGTGCCCGAAGCAAGCAAGGAAAGGGACTATCATTAAGCAAACTCAGTGAGTATACTTGTGGGATATAAGCGCAAGAGAATATAATTAAATATAGATATACCATGATGAGTAAGTCTCACGATGTTGAAAGTATGGATAGCATGGCGCGTCTTGCCCCGGAGGAGAGAAGGGATGAATTTTAGGTTAGATCCAGAGCAGGCATCAGATAGTTAAAACTCACTCACCACTGGGCATAATTTAGCTAATACAGTGTCGGGGCGCACATGATTGCATTTAGGGTCACCAATTATAGCTAGGACCACACTACTGCACCACTTGGCCGGGGTGGAAGTCCTTGGCACTGTATATGACTACTGAAAAGGTTCTCTGGAAGCTAAGTTCAAACAAGCCTTGATCATTAACTTCTATTGATGCACCAGTGGATGACCAAGTTTAGCAGCATTCCAACCTGCCAAGACTATCTGCAGAAACATCTGCAGCAGCTCTGCCTCCGCGCCTTCTAGAAAGATCTCTTTACGCAGATTAAGGCGCTGCTGAAGCCAGAGTCCGCGACCACTGCCCTGGCCGGTAACATCCCGCTCTGTTGGCCCAGTCTGGAAGACGCGCTCCAGGAGCGATTCCGGCCACCCCACATCACTTCGGGGAACCGGATGGCCATCAAGTATATTAACGTCCTCTTCACATGGCTCTGGGAGTGGCGGGACGGCTGATTTAAGCAAAAAGGTTAGGACTATAAGCCCTATCGCCTTTTGTATCAGAAGAGCTTCAAGGTAATTACCCTAATCCAAGGCAAGGACGCCGCTCGTCAGTGGAAACAGGGCCGGAAAGACTCCTTTATTCAGGGCCATTGGATGCTGCCCTATCCCTAGAACAACAGCTTCATGCGAAAATTCAAGCTGAGTGGCCAGGTCATGTGGCGGTGCAACATTCACCGAGTCCTGGATCTGTATTACAAGGAACTGGACGTCCTCTTAACATTCTTCCCAGCCTCCTATATCAAGCATCACCCTGCTCAGCGCTGGGGCCCCTCTAAACCCTCCCTGTCCCATCCGGACTATACAATTATACCAGAGCAATGGCTTCTTCATCTCTCCGACAGTGAGCTATATCAGCAGCTCACTGAGTTCCGCACTTGATGGACATCAGCCGCTCCGAGACCATCTCCCTCAGGGCGCCAACCGTCCCGGCTAATCTTTGAGATACAGGAGCGGATTCACGATACATCCAATCCAATTACGGGCCTGGTTAAGACATGGTCGCTATCCGCATGCAGCCGGATGCTTCTCCGCATTATACAAATATAAGATCCTTCAGCATCGGGGCCAATGTTTCCAGCGCCGTCGCCGCCATGCCACGCTCCCCGACCACTACTCCGACACCCAACACCCGACACCAAGCCCGAGGGGACGGCCGATACTGACGAGCAAACATCTGATGAAGAGGGGATTGAACCTCAGAAAACACCGGTGGCGGAGTACATCCAGCGGATCGAGAAACGGATGTTTACAATCATCGGCGCAGATCGCAAGGGATGGATGGGCCCTTATAGACATGACGAGACGATCAAAAGTTTTGCGCCTCAACTCCGTCGACTGCCCCATCATCTGTTCTCTCTTCTGCTACTACTTGATATTCCAGTGGATAAGAACTATCACCCACCGCCGCCGCCAGACAACGTGACTCTACCCCAGAGGCCCCACGGGGCCGGAGGTGCGGCGGATATCGGGTTCAGTGGATCTGTATGGCGCTAGGGTTTGGGGTCACCGGGCGGATTCCTCCTTGCCCCCGCATGGACTTGAAAATTCGCGGGGGAGACACTTGGTCCAGCCTGGCAATGGAACCACAATCTGGACACGACAAAATTCTCCCTTCATAATCCTGGATTGACTCTGCACACCGCGACTGTGACAGCGGATCTTTACGCGGCAAGAAACACGCTCACGCGCCGTCTTCATGGTGCAAATCCCTATGGAGTAGTGGAGATCGACTTCAGCAACATGGCGGATGGCGACCATGCCGGACTAGCAGCGTTGAAGGACGCAAGTGTTTGGATTGGCATAGTCCGCAATGGCACCGAGGATCGTGTGGTTGTTACCCATGGTCTTGCCATGGGAACGTACGGAGGAACGACAAGCACACGCACAACTGTAGCAACAACTCCGATTATCCGAACAAAGGTGTGGCTGAAGGTCAGTCTTGATGCTGCCGCCGTGGGTTCCCACGAAGCGCACTTCTTCTACAGCTTAGATGGGAGCACATTCATCGAGCTGGGAGACGCCTATTCTCTTACCACCGACTATCTTTTATTTATGGGATACCGTTATGGAATCTTTAACTACGCGACCCAGGCTCTGGGTGGCTCTGTTGATGTGCTTAGATTTGCAAGTGAGTCTAGCTAGGAGCCATTCGCAAATTTTAAGTGCGATATGCTTAGTTTGGTCATGAACGGTTGTTGCAACCTGCCGTCGTTGTGTATCACTCTTATCTAGATGGCCAAGCACTAGGGTTGGAGGGATGTCTACAACTTTGTCCAACGTCCTCTAGCTGGTATCGTTATGTCTCCGCCCAGTAGATTGTATATATATAGCTAGCTACAGAGCTGCACCTTCGATGCTGCTAATTATGGTTTTATCCAATGACGTCGCATGCTTCTTGTCGCAGGATAAGGGTAGGTATACTATCCACCTTGGGGCCTGCAATTAAAAACCATGCAACTGGGACACGGCAGAGCAAGAAGCCATCGCACATATCGTCCTTGAAAGCTCTACATCTGAACTCTTGTACTTACTAAGTATGGTTGAGAACCAGCCATGGATAAGACTACTACCGATTGGATTCTTGTTAATTAAGACTAAAAGGTACGGTTGGTTCATAGGACTAGGGCGGGGCCAATAGCCGTGTATATCACACATTTTACTTTTGCAAAAGACCTTGATAGAGTGTGATAGTTTCAGGGAAGCAAGCAGAGTGATAACCATCCCCCTAAATCATTGTATGGTGTATGAAAGATGGATGGTTATACACACAGTGACGCCGTCAAAGTAACCGGCTGGGGACAACCATAGACCTTCTGGTGAGCCGGCGTACTGTAGCAGCCAGCATCGTTGGCCGCGCAGTCAAATTCCTCGCAGCCTTCTCCGGGGCTCAGCGTGTTGTGGTTTGCCGCGAAGGGGTTACCCCATTCATTGCTCAGCTCATCTGAAAAATGCCGTTAGTGGAAGATTTCGTAGAGGACAAGTGGATATGGAATACTCACAGTACGCATAGTCTGGGTTAGAAGAGAATGAATAGCCAAAGAAGAGAGGCTTATCCAGCGTTTTGGTCTTGGCGATCTTGATGGTCTGCGCATTCGTTCTGGTCAGCCTCTCTCATTATCTGGCTTCAGGGCAGAACAGATAAACGTACCGATCCAGAGGCTCTGAATTTCTCTGAGAATGTTCCGCCCGAGGGAATGGTTGTCAGAGGGCCGGGGGCGCTGCCATCGTAGGGGAACGACTGCACGTACACGGTGGTGCTACAGTCGTTATTCACGATAGCATTCTGGGCAGAGGTCAGGCCGAGGAGGGCACCGAACGCAATCAGAGAAGTCTTCATGGCGGATATTAGTCTAAAGGTTAGCAAGGAATAGTTAAAGTACCTGTCTCACCCCCGATTAGATGAGGGGAAGCCCGGGCTTCATATAGCTCTGCTACTCAAACACCGCAGTACCGATGAGTTACCGATGACGAACATCCAAGAAGAGCATCCAAGACATCGCGGCGCCCTGGCCCATTCAACGTCCTGGATTGTCAGGCCACCGCTCGGGTATCCGTTTCCCCGCCAATCAACATGGGTGGTAGGTGAGACATGCGCATCATAGCCACTGCATGTACTCCGCATCAGACACCGCACGGGATACCGTTGCATCCCGGCGGCCAGTTTCTCAACATTGGATGGGCGTCCTGTCGACAGTGATCCACGTCAAGTAAGGATGATCTCAGTGGTGTGGAGAAACTCCTGGAATCAAGGAATTCGTCAGTCTAGAATCTCAGCTGGTTTCCCCACTTCTGACCCCGGCCAAGTACCCCCAAAGTCATTTGCCCGTTCCCCACGTGAATGCGATGGTGGATGCTTTCCCCCGTCAGACCGCGGTTCCATGGGTATGTCGCAAGGACGATATGTATATTCTTCCTTCCAAAGTAGACATGTCCTTTAGCTCCCTGATTCATGCGAAGGACTCCAGGTCAGTCATGTGGTCAACCCTCCTGGTTTAGTTTGTATGGTCGCTAGTAAGACGAGGTCCTCTCCGGGCATTTACTCTTTAGCCTCCGAGTTCTAGCGACGACAACTATGTCTTCAGCCCAAGACAACCTTGCCTGATCATTATTATGAAGCTCATCACGAAAACTGAGGATCCGGGATGTTGTCGGATAATTTGCCCGTTTCAGATTCAATGGGGGTCGCGGCCTCCCGTAATATTGTTTTGCCCAGGGTCTCACTGGACTACCTTGCCCTACAAGAGGGCTCCGTCAGACCCCGCCGGGCATCTTCCTATGCGATCCAGACCCCCCCGACCCGGCGACTACATCGGCCTGCCATGCCCCCGCCGGCCATTGGATCCAGGCCATCTGGATATCATTCAATTCCCCCAATCTAGGGCTATCTAATGGTGGTAAGCATACACCCTAGATCTGGTAGGCTAGAGAGAAATATAAGGATATCTCTTAGGATTCGAAATTTTTATAGGTTTTGGGAGGTGACTGGAGATATCTAGTAGGATATAGTTATTCTAGATATTTTTAGTAGATAGGGCTACTAATTCTCTATATATTAATATCTTATAGGGCTAGTGGTTATTAGCCCTAGATTTTTAAAAATCCTTAGAGGTTAGTAGGTTTTTACCAGCTCCAGCTAGTAATAAATATTTTATTTAGTATCTACTAATTCTAGATATTTTTAGTTAATAGAGCTAGTTCCTACTAGTCTAGTAATATCTAGTATATCTAATAATATTAAGTCTAGAATTTTTAAAAATCTCTAGAAGTTAGTTATTTTCCAGCAGCTGCAGCTAGTAAATATAATTTTTTATATATTTAATATTTACTATTTCTAAATATTTTTAGTAGATAGATCTAGTTTCTACTAGTCTAGTGATATCTAACATGCTTAATAATATTAAGCCTAGAATTTTTAAAAATTTATTTCCCTCTAGTACCCGCCGGCAGGTACTATTTTTTATATATAATATCTACTAGATATAAATATTTTTAGTAGATAGGCCTAGTTTCTACTAGTCTAATAATATATAGCATGCTTAGTAATATTAAGTCTAGAATTTTTAAAAATTCTTTTCCCTAACATTATAATGGCCCATCAGGAGGGGACCTGATCATAGTAAAATTAGGGTTGACAAGGGGGGAGGTGATCAGGGTCATCCATCAGTACCCCCCAAACTAGTCAAACCTTAATATTTTTGAATGATTTAAAATGATTTATGATGCTAACTAGCTAGTCTATTAGATTCTAATATTAGATTCTARATTAATCACTAGGAAGGTGGTCAAACTAGGGGGGTAGSGGTCAGGTCGAAATTTTTGGTTGGGGTCTGCCAAGACCACTATCTGCGGGAAGCCTATACCCTTTTAGGCCACCATCTAGTATGGATTAGTGCCTGAGGCATCTGGTAGGCTAGTAGGGCCTAAGAATTCAGGCAGAAACTAGAAGAAAAATTAATTCTTAGTATTCACTAGGGGTCTAGTACTAGATAACTAATTATAATTATTTTTAGTAAATAGTAGATACTTTTAGCTATAGAATAATAATAGTCTGATTAGGTAAGCATGATTCCTAATTTTTTAAAAATTCTAAAAAGGTAGTTTAAAATTTATTACCTACTAACTAATTATAATTATTTTTAGTAGATAGGCCTAATCTCTACTAGTCTAATGATATATAGCATGCTTAGTAATATTAAGTCTAGAATTTTTAAAAATTCTTAGAAGTAAATATTTTATGAATTTTATATAGTAGAGATATATATTAGAGAGGGCTTAGACTAGGGGCCTAGCTAGCTAGATAGTAATAAGAACTAGTTACTACTACTAATCTAGTAGGAATAGTAGATATATATATATATATTTTAGTCTACTAGGTAGAGGTAGGGTAGGAGAGAAATATATAAATTTTAAAAGTAAGAGAGAGGTAAGAGAAATCTAGTAAGTAGGCCTAGGCTAGGTGATTCAGCCTGACTAGGCCTAGTGATTCAGCCTGGCTAGGCTAGGTGATTTGATCTGACTAGGCTAGGTGGTTCGGCTTCGAGAGGTGCCTGCACAGGGGGTCTAGGCTAGGTGATTTGGCATGGCTAGGCTAGGTGATTCAGCTTGGAGGCAGGAGGTCTAGGCTTAGTGATTCAATTTGACTAGGCCAGGTGATTTGATTTGACTAGGCCAGTCGATTTGACTAGGCTAGTCGATTCGATCTGGCTGGGCTAGGTGATTCGATCTGACTAGGCTAGTTGATTCGGCTTGACTAGGCTAGGTGATTCGATCTGACTAGGC